GTATTTAATAGTTTAATTTAAATTTACATAAACGAATCTATTTTTTACTTAAAGATGAAGTTCTTAAAATCTATTCAATTATATTAATTGACACTTTTTTGCCATATTTTTTTAAGTAGACACTGGTGAAATTTTTCTGAGTTTACTGTATGCAGCCTAGTACGAAGATGTCATTGGTGGGCCCCATGGATAGTCCTTCATTAGAGAGAGAGAGAGAGAGAGAGAGAGAGAGAGAGAGAGAGAGAGAGAGAGAGAGAGAGAAAAGGCTGAAGCTTCTATGTTGAATAGTTTTTGAGTTATAAGCATTTTTGCATGTCTAGGCACCCCCTTTCCAGGTAGAGCATCTCCTCAATTATGCAGTCTATCGTAAAACAGTTGGCTGGTGCAGTGTAGGTTGAACTCATCGACATTCCTGCCAAATTTCATATTGAAATTGCAGAAAAAACCAAACAAACTAAAGTATGAAAACAATATGATCCCCGCTATGTGTGCGGGGGTCATATTAATTATTATTCCTTATTACTGTTGAAGTGAAAATCTGAAGAAATTAAATACATTTAGATTCAGGAACAGATCATCAAGTGAATGCAGTTAATATAACAGGGCTTTACAAACAAAAAGTGTTATATTTTAGTATTACAAGGGAAACTCCCCTCACCATTTACTATAATTTATTATGTGATGTCATTGTGAGGTCTTGTTCATAAATGGGTTTCATATTTTGTTAAAAGTTGACAAGCATGAACCGAGCAGTGTTCCTTCAACTGTGAATGATTTTCGTGACGTGAGAGAGTTTCGTGTCAAACCGTAGCTTCTTTATAGTGAAAAGAGACACCGATATTTCCCTCTGAGGGTAAGATCCGGTTGTGTGCTGCTGTGTGCGTGCCGTGCGAGGTCAAGTACGTGAGAAGCAGGAGGCCAGCTCGCTGTGGCAGCAGTGCCACAGGGGTTACATCAGTGTACTTCTATACTCACGGAGCACTGTTACTGACAAAATGCATCCCCTTTCCACTCGCTTTACTCTCAACCATCAAACCTGAGAGCTTATGCCGAGTTGTGTCTGCACACCGGGATCAGCACCTGAGGGAACGTGTTCCAGCCACAGGGTGTGTCCACATCGCAGCTTGTTAGCACGACAGAGAGAAGGAAGTTGAGGTTCGGGCTAGAGAAAACCTTTGAGACATCTTGCCACTTTCAACCAGGCTCATCATCATGCTTATAAATATTTCAGAAATTACTGCACGTCTTTTGGCTTTACTTTATTTAAATGAAAGTTTTACCACATGACTGTGTGCTATGAAATTAAGTTTAATTAGAGCCAGGCATCAAACTAGATGTGTCACAGTGAATGTACGTCTTAGTAGATTCTTGTGTTTTATCTTGTGTTTATTTCTGTTAGTTTGTTACAGTGTTACGTTTCCTTAGTTAGTTTGTGCTCTTCTGTCCCGTCATGCACACCTTCACCTGTTCCCTGTTACCATTACACCTGCCTTCAATCTCCTCATCGTCACAGGTCCTTTAAGTCTCACAGTCTTCACCTCACCTGTAATCTGGCATTGCATTCCAAGCCTTGATCAGATTTCTGTGAGTTTGCATCTTTTGCTGCCACACCAGCCTTTTGTTTAGTAATACTTATAATAATTAAATCTTCTAGTTTTCATTTCAGCTCCTCACATTGGTTTGCATTCTTGACTCCAAACAGTATTCAAACAGTAACATTTTCATTCACAATTTCAGGGTTGTATCTTCATCTGACAACAAAACCGAAAAAAAATATTCATGATAGCAGCGTTAGTGGTAAACTAGCTCTGTTAATTGAACATTTTTGTGAACACAAAGTAGAAAAGAAGCAAATGTTCCAGTGAGCTGGCATAAAGCAGAATGCTAATGTGACATGAAGATGCAATCCTTATGTAAATTTACTTAGGATGTAATTTAGTGACATTTTCCAACTTCTATTTTTAGATTTTAACCCGTAAAAATAGGTGGTGAATGTTAACTGGTATTTTTAGAACTCTAAACCCCATTTAGGAAACCAGTGAAGAGAAGCCATGAGTGGGAATATGTGTTAATGAGTACCTGGTGTGTTCTGGTTAATAAGTGATGCAGAGATGCTATAAACCAATATGTAAAGCATTGAAATAGTCCAACCAAGAGGTAATGAAGCATAAATTACTTCTTCAATATCTTTAGTAGCTTAGACACGACTTTACCTTGCCAATCAGTATTAACTGAAAAAAAGTTAACCAATTTGACTTCAGCTTGTAACTTCTAGCTCATTTAAAATCTTTCAACTAAGTTTTAAACAAGTTCTGATGAATGTGACTGTGACCCATCACATCGAACCGAGGTTTAAGCAGCAAAGTGGTATGTAAAGAAATATTGATAAAATGATTTATTTAATCGCTTTTTTTAAATACTGAGCCCACAAGGGGACATGGGGGATTTTTTTTGTTTTGCGTTCCCACGCAAAAGTATTGTGTTACCTCGCAATACCTTTTGCGTTCCC